GATGGCAATTTTTCTATTTCTTTTATAACTAATCTAATAAATTATTTACTTTCTCTAAAGAAATGTACTATAAGATAATTAAAACATAAAGTAGTAAATGTATAAATTTACCAATTTTTCTTACATGTTACAAAATATACATTATAAATTACAAAGAAAATTTAGATAGTTTTGATATTAGTAAACTGTAAAATTTTATTTTTCTATAATACTAAACTATATTTATTATTAAAAAATAATAATGTTATTAAGACTATGAAAATTAACAAAAAATCCATTAACAAAGTTTTTTTTGTAATTTTTTATTGATGAATTTTTGTAAAGTAACATGTTTTAATTGTATTTTAATAGTAAAATTAAGACTTTAAAGCATGTTAAGTATTGATCATTACAATTAGAAGTGATATGATTTGATAATAGAAGTATAGACAATTGAATTTAAAAAAAATGTATGGTTTTTAAAAATCAATTTATTTTACAAGATTTACAAATTATAATTATGTAAGCTTTCAAACATTTGTAAAAAAATATAGCAAAATTTTCGCAAATAACTAAATCTGTAAAACTTCTCAAATATTTTATCATTACATATAAAGTTGTGTTTCATTGCGCATCTAATAAATTATTTACTTTCTGACAAATGTACTATAAGATAATTAAAACATAAAGTAGTAAATGAATAAATTTACCAATTTTTCTTACTTGTTACAAAATATACATTCAAAATTACAAAGAAAATTTCGATAGTTTTGATATTAGTAAACTGTAAAAATTTTGTATTTTTCTATAATACTATACTATATCTATTTATTTAAAAAATAATAATGTTATAAGACAATGAAAATTTTACAGAAAAAAACTTTCTTAATGATTTTTTTCTGTAAAATTTTTTTTGATGCATTTTTGTAATGTGACGTGTTTTAACTGTATTTTAATAGTAAAATTAAGACTTTAAAGATGTTTAGTATTGATCATTGATAATGATGTGATTTTTATAATAGAAGTTTAGACAATTGAATTAAAAAAATGTATAGTTTTTAAAAATAAGATTTATTTTACAAGATTTATAAAATGTTTATTTATTTCAACCATTTAGCGATGTATTGCTTGGTGCGTTTCTTAGCTTCGTACATCTCTGGTAAATCGTTGACGCTGATGGAACTCAAATCGGCGCAATGGGCAGTTCCTGAAAATATTCACCAAAAAAGTTATAAATTTGTAAAAATTTGTAATTTTATAAAATAAGTGGTAACATTTAAAGAAATTAAGTGGTATAAATTTCAAATAATAATTTGGAAAAAATTGCAAAAAAAAAATCAAAGTTAATTTCTTTAATGTTTAGAAATAAAATAGTAAAAATTATTGAATTTTTGTTGTAATTACCATTGACGATGAAGACTGGAGCGTTTTCGTTCAAGTCCTGCTTCAAACCAACTGCGTGCCATGGATCAACAGTGCCGTGAACGGAAACGACGTTGGTGACTTCCAATTTGTATCCTCCGTTGATGATGTTCGTCCTGTTGATTCCTCTCTGCAATAAATCTACGTTGAATCTGTAAGAAATAATTTAAGAATTATTCAGTTTGTGTTGATTTGAGTTTAAAAGGTTTTAGTTTACTTCTTTCCGAAAAGATCCTTGCAAATGTTGTGGTACAACGAAAGTGGGAAAGTCTTTCCGAAAGGTTGGTTGTTCGAAGTTGTAGTTTGGTAGTATCCATATTCGGTGCAGGTTTGGTAGTACCATTGGCGATCTAACATAATGAAAACATGTTATTAGTACACTTAGTGAGTCAAATTTCAAGTATATAAATTTTGATGTAATTTGTACACTTAGTATATATAAAATTCAAGATTTAGTTCACTAAGTATTTTAAAAATTTTAAGTAATTAGTACACTTAGTATATCACTTTTTCAAGTAATTAATAGTCTTAGTATATCAAATTTCAAATAATTAGTATATAGCATAAACCAATTTGAAGTAATTAGTATACTTAGTATATACAAATTGTAATAATAAGTGCACTTCATATATATTTAGTATCCATAATATATCCAATTTAAACAAATTAGCATACTTAGTACATACAAAAATCGTAGTTTAGTATACAAATATATCTTAATTTTAAGTAATTAGTATAGTTTTTAATATCAATATCAAGTAACTAGTTCACTTAGTACTTCAAAATTTCAAATAGTTAGTAGACTTACTTATCAAGTTTCAAATAATTAGAATACTAAATAAGTTATATTTCAAGTGAACAGTTATTATACTAGAATTTCATGTATTTAGTATACTTAGTAATACGTCATAATGTCAAGTATATTAAACGTTTAAATAATTAGTGCACTCAGTATAACAAATTTCAAGTAATTAGTATGTAGCATATACAATTTGATGTGGTTTGTTTACTTTCAAAATTTCAACTTACGAATTTGGTTGGTGATGTTCGGGCTTCCGAAGTAATCCAAAAACTCATCGTACAGACCCATGCAGTCACCAGAATACTGATCACGAATGTAAGAACTCAATTGTTCCAAAGGCGATCCTGATTTGGCCAAAAGTTTGTTACACTCGACCTTGATCTGACCCACGTAGGCGTATTGCACCAAACTGGCAAATACTTCACCAATCGTGTTGAAGAGGAAAGAACGATGAGGTTCTTGAATCTTGATTGGTTCGCAAGTGCTGAAATTACATATTATCATAACTGTTTCTTTCATGTTAACAACAAAATTACTTGAGTAATGTCTTGAGTGTATCTGCACCCCATTTGGCTTCCAACAAATCTTCCATTGCGGCTGTTCCACTCCTGATTGTTTCCAAGCATTTGGCAGAGTTCAGTTTGATGTTGTCGTTGATAACCTCGTAGTATTCTTGAAGATAATGTTGTTATGAACAAAAGTTAGATGAAAGTTATGAAAGTTACCTTTGTAATCTTCGACTGCTTCAATTGGGGCACTTGAGGATAAGGCAGCTGTGATCAAATGAGGATACTTCATCCTCATCCAAATAGCCATACTCGCTGAGTAAGAAGCTCCAACAACTACAACCTAATTAAGATTTGTAGAAATACATAGGAAGATGAAAGTTTGTTAACTCACTTTGCTTTTGGCCATACCAGGCATGGTTTTCTTCATATGTGTGATGAAGTAAGCTACATCAGCTAAAGCTTGATCTGTTGTAAGGTACTTCAATTTGTCAGTAGCCATGTCTCTGTTAAAAATTAACAATTAATTAAAGAAAATTTTAAAGTTTTGTTTTTTTTTTTGTACTCGAATGGGAAACTTTTTCCATAGAATCTGTGCTCGGTGTAGAACATGTAACCATGGTGATCAGCAGCCATATCGAACATTTGACCGGTCTGCAAATATCCAGAGGAAATCTCCCATTCTCCTCCAAGGAAAATGAAGATCGGAGCTCCAGATTCGAAGAACTGACTTTGGTTCATGAATCTCTATAAAAAAAAGTATATTTTCAGTTTACATTTTACATAATAACTGAAAAATTGAAAACTATTCATAAATTTTATAATTACATCAGAAACTGCCTTCAATTACGCATCTTTTGTTATAACTTTCATTATGAAATAGTAATTAATGATTGAGAAATTGCTATTTTTCAATATTTTTACACACCTTCAGATTTTATTTAATTACTCAATAACCACGCATAATAATTAGATCATCGAATATTCATTATAAAGCTAAAATTATACCTTTTCCAATGAATCTATTCCCTAATTAATGTTACTTCCTGTTTTCATGTCGTAAGCTTTCAAAAATTTGTAAAAAAAATTGCAAAATTTTCGCAAATAACAAAATCTGAAAAACTTTTCAAATATTTTATCATTACATCTAAAGTTGTCTTTCACTTCGCATCTTTCGTATTAGAAAAATTACGTAATTATGTTCAATTACCGATTTTTCTATTTTTTTTTTTATTTTAACTTTTTCATAAATTCACTCTAGAATTTCAATAAAAGCTAAATTAATCTATTAAAACAAACTGTGGTAATACTGAAAATCAACAACAATCTAAAAGTCTTTTGTTTAAAGAAAATATACTTAGTTTTTTTTTATAGTTTGTTGCTTTGTCTATTTCTATTTCGTCCTCTTTCTTTTTTTGTTTTTGTTTTGTATGAAAGAAAAGTAAATCCTTTTTAGAATGTAATGGAACGTTTGAATGGTGATTAATGATGCAATGCGCAATGTCAATTACTCCCGCATATAAACGTACATTTATTACGCAAAACGCTTTCCGCTGTTTCCTCCGACGATTCATTATTACTACTTTCCTCTATATACATTTGGACAGGATAATTAGTTTCTGCAATCTTGCAACAATTTGCGGACGATCATAACTCATCTTCACAATCTCGTTTCAAAGAAATTTATATAAATATAAACTGAAAAAAATGCATACATTTCAAACTGAAGTATATCAGAAAAAAGTTGCATAAAGTTTTGTTATAAAATAAGCTTAATAATGAAAAATTTATCGAATTTTAAATATTTGTGTGTTTTCAATTAATTATACTTGATTTACTTATTAATAGTAAGAAAATAAACAATAATTAAGCTAAAAATAAAATTTTATAACTTTATATAAATAAGTTTCTTTTTATCTAAAAAAAAATTGATTAAACTATTTTTGTTTTAACTAGAAATGATTCAAATAATTCTCGTGAATTACAAATTACGAATTTCTATCAAAATAGATTCAAGTATGTTTCAATGAAATTATATCTATTTGTTTATTGTTAAGTAGATTAGATTATAATAGTAAATTTAGTTTTTACAAAAGTTTAGTATTATAGTCTAGTAACTTGTAAAAATGTAATTACTAATATAAATTGTTATTTTATACTCATAAGTTGAATATTAATTGTTATTTTATACTCATAAGTTGAAAATTCACTACATGGCAAGTAACAAGTTAATTTAGATCTCAACATTAATCAACACACTAAAGCTTATCTCTTGTGTTTACTTTAATACTTCTATAATTTACTTGTCAAGTATCAAGTAATGACTTAAATCAATAAATAATCTAATTTACTACTTGTCAAGTAACTTGTAAAAATACTTGTTAAGAATTTCTTTCGGAGATTTTCTTGTAATTACTAATATTAATTGTCACTTTATACTCATAAGTTGAAAATGCACACGCTACTTGGCAAGAAAAAAATAATTAAGATCTCAACATTAATCAACACACTATTATTTTCTTTAATACCTCTACAATTTACTTGTCAAGTATCAAGTAATAACTTAAATCAATAATTATTTACCATGTTCCAAGTTCTGTTGTCGGTGGTATCGAAATGATCCAACCTCTGCTTGAACCATCCGAATTCCGGGGCTTTAGCTCTGGCTTGAGGAGCTTCAGCTGGAGGAAGTCCATGCTTTTTGAGGAAGAGTTTACCCTAAAACAGAGAATAACTTAGTTGTTCCTTCATCAATAAAAAAAAGGAAGATTTTTACCTCGGTCAAGGATAACGCGATCAACGCGAATGCAACGACTTGCAGGAAACGCATCGTGACTGTAAAACTCAATATTCTGATGCCTATTTATACCAAAATACTCCTCGATAAGATATGCTAATCTTCTATAGATTAAGTTTGTATAAGGATTAAATAAATCATCCATATTTTTTTTTAGTTAGTTCTATGCGTTGAAACCCGATGCGAACTAAACGATGTTTGGAAGTTCAGTATGCAGAACTAATTTCCCCACTTACTTACCGATAACAACATACATTTCCGGTGCGGATTCCGGTTGTAATGCCGCAATCCGCCACCACTCCTCTTCCACCCTCACACCGATCCACCCCTAAACGAAAGCTCACGCAAAGCCTGACGCGCGATGCTCACCAAAATCCAATTCGAATGCAAAACACATACACACGGTCACCCATTACGCAATATCGCCTCGTTTCGCACGGAAATAAATACATTTCCTACCATTATACCAGAAAGATAAGCGGTCCGTCTAAAGGCAATATTTGTTTTTGCAAACGGTTTAATGCTACCACCTACATTCATTTATACTCACTGTCCAAACCAGACAGATTCATTCGCAAAAGGATTTCAAATTAGATAATGTCAGGTTTTTTATGTCAGTTGGAATTATATGATATTTCTTGACGTTTCAATGACATTTGAAGTTAGTTGACGTTTCAATGTTATTTGAAAATATGTTACGTTTGTTGATGTTTCAATATAAATTGAAGTTAGATGACTTTCGTTGACGTTTCAATGACAATTAAAATTTGATGATTTCCATTGACGTTTCAATATCAATTGCAATAAAATGTCTTTCGTTGACGATTCAATATCAATTGAAATCAGATGACCTTCGATGACGATTCAATATCAATTGAAATCAGATGACCTTCGATGATGAAGCAATGTCTGTTGATATTATATGAAGTTCATTGACGTTTCAATGACAGTTGACAATTCAATATTAGTTAAAATTAGATTACTTTTATTGAGGTTTTAATATTAGTTGAAATCATATGACCTTCGTTGAAGTATCAATATCAGTTGAAAATAAATTTCATTTGTTCACGTTTCTAAGTCAGTTGAAATTATATAACTTCTATTGATGTTTCAATGACAGTTGACGTATCATTGTCATTTGAAATTAGATGACGTTCATTGACGTTTCAATAACAATTAGATTACTTTTGTTGACGTTTCAATGAGAATTAAAATTAGATGACATTCGTTGACGCAATAACAATTGAAATTAGATGATTTTCGTGAATTAACATTAGATAACCTTCGATGATAAATGAAGTTCATTGATGTTGACATTGACAGTTGACATTTCAATATTAGTTGAAATTAGCTGACTTTTATTGAGGTTTCAATATCAATGTCAGTTCCAATTATATAAAGTTTATTGACGTTTCAATGACTGTTGACTTTTCAATGTCATTTGAAATTATATGACGTACATTGACGTTTCAATATTAGTTGAAATTAGATGACTTTCGATGACGTTTCAATGACAATTGAATTTATAAGACGTTCGTTGACGTTTCAATAACAATTGAAATTAGATTACTTTTATTGGCGTTTTAATGAGAATTAAAATTAGATGAGATTCGTTGACGTTCAAATAAATATTGAAATAAGATGATTTCCGTTGACGTTTTAATATCAATTGTAATTAGATGATTTTTGTTGACGTTTTAATATCAATTCCAATGACTTTCCTATAACAATTGAAATTAGATGATTTCCGTTGACGTTTTAATATCAATTTCAATTAGATGACTTTTGTTGATGATTCAATATCAATTGAATTTAGATGACCTTCATTGACGTGTCAATATCATTTGAAATTTAATTTCCGTTGTTGACGTTTCAATGCCATTTCAAATTATATGACGCTTATTGACGTTTCAATCTCAGTTGAAATTAGATGACTTTTTGTTGACGTTTCAATAACAATTAAAATTAGATGATTTTTGTTGAGAATTCAATACAATTGAAATTACATGACCTTCAACGTTGAATCAATGTCTGTTGATATTATATGATGTTCATTAACGTTTCAATGACAGTTGACGTTTCAATGTCATTTGAAAGTATATAACGCTTATTGACGTTTCAATCTCAGTTGAAATTAGATGACTTTTGTTCATGTTTCAATAACAATTGAAGTTAGATGCTATTCGTTGACGATTCAAATATCAAATACAATCAGATGACCTTCGTCGACGTATCAATGTCAGTTGCAATTATATAACATTTATTGATGTTTCAATGACAGTTGTTGAAATTATATGACGTATCAATATCAGTAGAATATAGATGACTTTTATTGACATTTCAATGACAATTAAAATTAGATGACATTCGTTGAAGATCCAATACAATTGAAATTAGATGACCTTCGATGATGAATCAATAATATCTGTTGATATTATATGATGTTCATTGATGTTTTAATGACAGTTGACATTTCAATATTAGTTCAAATGACATTTATGACGTTTATTAACGTTCAAATCATATGACGTTTCAATATCAGTTAAAATTGGAAGACCTTCATTGACGTTTCAATGACAGTTGATTTGCAATTAAACTAATTGGCAACAGATTTTCTTTACCTTTTAATAAGAACTAGAAGTTTAATTTCAATTCTCAGTAAACAGACGTTACGTTACAATAACTTTGATTACTTTACAAAGCAGATTATATTCAAATTAAGATAAAAACCGTATTTCATTGCTGATTGCGTAAGTAAAATGTATAAGTTATCTGACATATTTTATATATATATATATTATAAACATGTAGATCAAGGCTCTTTGAAGCGTCAGGAACAAAGAAGTTATAAAGTTGGAAGTTTAATTACAAACGGTTGTAATTCCTATAGAAAACCGTGTTTTATCGTTCTCATACAATATTTTATCTCTCCCCTATTTTAGTTCCGCATTATTTGTAGAAGATACCGACTCTTTGAAGTACCTGCACAGAAACAAGCAGAAAGTTTCAGTATTATTTACGAAAGTCTCAAAGATTATTTTTGATTCAAATTTACTACTTTTAAAAGTTTACATTCACTTTTCTTGATATATTTATATAAATAATTTAGTTTTCTCTATTCTTTGTAAACTATAATATATGCAATAAGTAATTGAGAAATTATGATCAAAGGAATGCATGCAAAGTGGAAAGATACAGAATTTATTTTTAAGTACATTTATAAATAAAAATGAAGGAGAAAAGTTTATACTTCTTTTTGGTTGGAAAGTAAGTCACGACGCAATTGGATCACACCGAATTTGAGTAAACACGGTTTATCCTTTCAGATACGATTCTCTTATATAAACACAGCTCAGTTGGAATAATCGAAGAAAAAAACAAAAATTGAAAACAACATATTTGTACCATTTTCAGTTTCTGAAAATAAGTAAATTCAATTATTTGTGAAAGCATTTATAAACATTAAGAAATTACGAAATAAAACTATAATTTCGATACAAAACTATGAAAATAATCAATAAAATATATTGAAATTATTGAAGAAATCGACAAAAAAAAATTCATAAAAAAAATGTATAATATTTTATGAAATTATTAAATCTGAAAAATTTAATATTTTTCAAATTATTTAAGCATTAAAAATGATATTTTTGCTAATTAATCTCATAAATAATTCTTATTGATTCCAACAAATCTAATTAGTTTTTAATTGCTAGTTACCGTTTCGGTAATCGAATTAAACCGTGCTCGTTCGCAAATAAATGCATATAAATCGAAACGAATTATCGCAGATGAATGGATCGTAATTATATTATCAACAAAATAACACTATTTAATGCCTTCTGGCGCAATGTTTAAACGTCCAACTAAAATCGACGATTTATATTTCCAACATTTATTTGCATCCGATTATCCAGTTCTCAACCTATATAAAAGTTGTTTTTTTTATGATATTATTGTTTCAATTGTTTATTGTATGAACACTTGCTACTAGGGTTTTTTGAAGAAATTTATACAATTCTAAAACCGGAGTTTTATAACTAAAAAACCGGTTTATTGGAACTAAACTAAAAATCAACGGGAATATTGTAAAATACTAAGATTCATGAAACAAACAGAAAATCGGCATGGAATTTAGTTTTATTTTTTACTCTCCAACAATAACTTTAAAAAATGTTATGGAAAAATCTATTTATAAATATCTTCAAGAACCTGAAAAAGTGACTTTTTCTTAGCCTTAAAATACTAAAAAAAGAGTTTTTAGTATTAGAGTTTTTGTACAGAAGAACAAAAATTTATAAATGTTATATGCAAGAAAAGACATTATTTCCTTTTTAACATCATTTTCCAAGAAAAAGTTTTATTTTTGTGCGAATAATAAAATAAGTTGTAAAAATCCTTTCTTTTTATTTATTTTTTTGTGTGTGATAATTCGAAAACCGGTTTAAACCGGTTTTATATGAAATTTTTAGGGATTTAAAAACCGGTTTTTATTAAAGTCGTTACTTTTTGTATAAACCCTACTTGCACAAATATCCAGCTTTGACATTTATTCAATCGATTATAGTATCCGAGAAAAACACTAAAATTATTCAATTTTGAACGCGAATTACAGCCAAATGGATGAAAACTATATCAATCTGCGATTACGCACTAGATTCTCAAATATCCAGCTTGTATATGCATCTCTTGAATCTATTCTATCTATAATAGTTTTCGAGATAATAACTAAATTGCGAAAACACTGCTTTTTCTGGAGCGTTATTTTTTTATTTTTTCAACTTTCAACATTACAGCCAAATGCATGAAACCACAGCAATGTATGAATACTCGTTACATTCCCCAAACATCCAGTTTTATATTGTTTCAATTATTTATATTTATTTATGTTCCTTAATTTGATATTATTTCCATTATTGCTTATATTTCATGTTGTTTGTTTTTATTTTGAAAGTTGATATGAGTTCTATTACATTTTGTTAAACGTTTTCGTTTCGTGATAAGAAGGATTTCCGTTTACTTCAAGTATCTCA